CAGTTTTCCACAGTGATAGGTTCTACTTTTACTGGGGCTGAAATGTAGGCACTAGGTCACTCTGATGACTGAAGATATTTCAATGTGAAAACTCATAGGAGCTACAGAGAAAAGAACAGAGAAATAGCCCTTGATCAGATCACATTGAATTTTTGTGGAATCTTCATGATGATTTCCATATGACTCAGGCATTGATGTGGAAGTGGGAGTGTGGTTTAATAAGAGAAAGGCTGTTACCAGAGAGAAAGTCATGATGACTGGGAGATCATCATAGGGACTGCAAATCTGAACCTAACGAGGGTATCAATATGACAATCCTGTGTTTGTATTTGTTTACTGAAAGTATTCACTGAGCCAATTCGTACTCCAGTGGTTAAGACATCTGGGTCTCACAAGGCTGACCTATTGGTTTATGTCCTGGAACTAGCAGCTTTAGAAACACATTAGGCATATGTACATGTGTGCCTAAAATCCCCAAAGGAAGGAGAAATGGAGGAGAAGGGATTGCAGTGTGACCATTTCCCATCAGGGCGCTTTCTCCTTTTTCTCTCTCTCTCTCTCATCTATCTATCTATATCTCTGATTAATTTTCCCATATTCTCTCTGGCAATTTTATTATTATTTTATTATTATTTTATTTTATTATTATTATTATTATTTTTTGTTATAGGGTGCGTGCGCTCTCTAGAAAGACAGAGAGACAGAAAGTGAGAAATCACCCACAGGGGGGATGGCCACACCGCAATCCCTTCTTCTCCATTCTCCTCTCGAGATCTTGGGAACGCATGCACACATGCCAGACGTGATTTTAAGCCACCGGGTCCGGAACTCGAACTGCAGTTGACTACATGGTAGTTCAGAGACATAGCCATTACGCTAACTGCTGGTCCCCCTCTGGCAAAAATTTTAAGAAAGCATGAACTGAGAACTTTTCAGGCTGGAGTTGTACTTCAGCATTTGCATATACGTGAATGTGGTGACATTAAGGTAAGTGAAGGGAGGGAATGAAATCATATGAAGTTCACTTACTGTTCTCAAAGCCCTTTGATGTACCACTAATCTGGTGTTACACTTATGCCAGGTGTTCCATCTGCCAGGTGCCTAGATGATTTCATGTCATAAGGATCCTGATAATCTTCCCTGTTCCCCATCTGTCTAAATATTTATGAATAGCCATGTGGATTGATCTATGCCATATTGTATTCAGTTTAAAGTACGATCAAAATCCTTCTTAGTTTCCAAAGGTAGACGATACATTCTCAGAATCTTTCTTAGGTCAAGGTTAGTAAATCAAACCAGTCATTCATAGAAGTATACACAATCTTTAAAAGATTCAGGTAGTTGAATAATTGCTCCAGGATAAAATTTCTAGGTGATAGTGTGATTATTATGTTCTCCATGACCAGGGGTAGCAAGTGACATAGACATCTATAATTCACAATGAACAAGTAAACATTTGCACAGAGTAGGTTCAATTAGAATCCAGAACTGGAGTTAAAAGGCCATCTCACAATGACATAATAAAATCCAAATTTTATTATGTCAAATGCATTACTACACTAATGGTAAGTCAATAGTTTAAAAGAGCCTTTTCAGAAATGCCCATAGTTTCCAGAATTATTTCACCTTATGTGGCTCTCATTGATGGAATTTTTTCCGTTCTGTGCTCTATAACAGAGTGCCACAAATTGGGTAATTTATAAAAAATAGAACTTTATTTGGCTCATGAAAGTGTACACTGGGAACTCTAAAAGGATGTGCTGATATCTGGCTGTGGCCCATATGCTGTGTTATCTTACTTGAGAAGGCAGAAGGGCAAGTGAGCACATGAGACAGAATGGCATTTGAGCTGAACTTAATCTTTTATCAGTAGTCCAATCCCACAGTAACTAATTCATTCCCTGATAATCACGTTAATTTATTCTAAAAGCTCAACTGCCATAATATAATCACCTCTCAAAGATCCTACCTCCTAGGGTTGGGAGGTAGCACTGTGGTTAAGGTGCTGGGCTCCACGTGGCTATCAACAGTTTGAGTCCCAGACCCGGCAGCTTCCGTTCTAACTTTTCCATTCTCTCTCTCATATCTCTCTGGTCAAATTTAATAATAATAATAATAATAAAAATAAAATAAATAAATAATTTTTTTTAAAAAAACAACAGAACAAAGATTCCACTTCCCAACACCATCCCAATAGCAATTAAATTTCAACTTGAATGTTTTCCCCCTTACTGCCATACACCAGTCTGAGAGGCAAACAGAGAATGAGAGAGTGAGAAAGCAACCCCCAATGGGATCTGGTTATGCTACAATCCTCTCTCTTCCAGTTCTCTATCCTGTCAGGGTGCTGGGCATAAACATACCTACCCTAGCATGACTTTCAATTCAGTGGGGCAGAGATTCAAACATTGTGTGTTCATGTGGGATCCAGCAACCTCGATACAACTCTTCACTTAATCACTGTATTGTGGAGTTGGACATCCCACCTTTGATCTCATTTCTACACAACATTCAAAATGCATTTATATTATTATAATAACCCCAAGTCTTAACTCATTTCAGCACCAACTCAAAAGTCCACAATTTTGGAATCCCATTGAAGTCAGATATGTTTGTGTGTCCAGGTATGATTTTTTTTCTTAAGCAAATTCTTTTTCTGACTTTGAGTCTGTGAAATCAGAAGAAGTAATTTACTTCCCAAATAAAAATGATAGTACAGACATAGGATAGTCATTACAATTCAAAAAGTAAGAAATAGACTAGAAAGGAAAGGCAACTGATGCCAAATAAGCCCAACATCCAAAAAGAAGACAATCAAGTATTATTGTTGGACAATAATCTCCTTTGACTTCTTGTGTCATATCCTGAGCATGTTGGCACAGAGTTGGGACCACAAAGCCTTGAGCAGTCTTGCCCCAGTGGCTGATCAGGTTCAGTTCACATCTCATCTCTTTTGGGCTGGAGTCTTTTGCATGTATCTCTCTCTCTCTCTCTCTCTCTCTCTATATATATATATATATATGTGTGTGTGTGTGTGTGTGTGTGTGTGTGTGTGTGTATGTATTTATAGACCCTTAACACATTATATACAATAATCAACTGTAGTTGCTCCCTGAACGTAATAAATGAGGCAGCCTTGCTCCCACTGCACCACCAGGCACTAGGCATTGCTGTAATAAGAATCCTGTGTGATAGCTAGAACCCTGGCAGGGGCTTTCCACAGTGGTTTTACTCCAGTACACCTACCTTGTTCAGCTACACCTAGAATGTCCTGGACATTTTTTTAAATCCATGTGGAAGAAGCCATGTTGCCACAGTTCTTAAATTCTGTGAGCCTACAGAGATAGCACTACATGGATGATGCCCAGTCTTACATTGTTGATATAAAAAAAAGTTCTAAGATACATAATTAATTAGAAAAAGTAAAATGTAGAATAACATGCTTAATTATTCATATGGTAGATTCTAAAATGGAGAATAGAAACACAGGAAATGGGACTGTGATAAAAATAATTCATTTTAGAATCACTTGTGTGAATGCATTTGACATTTTATAAAATTAAAAATAATAGGGACCAGCAGATGGTGTAACGGTTACATTGCTGGACTCCCACATTATCGACCATGGTTCAAGTCCTGGAACCAACAGCTTAAAACTCATGCTGGATGTGTAGCGTGTATGCCCAAAATCCCAAGAGAAGAATGGAGGAGAAGGGATTTCTGTGTGGTCACCCCCACAGGAGGTCATTTCTTGCTTTCTGTCTCTCTGTTTCTCCAGCAAAAGCACATGCCCTATAGCAAAAATCTCTAATAATAAAATATATTAATAACAATAACTCAAAGGGGAGTTGAGGCAATGTCAAACATTCAGATAAATTTAAAGATAGAAAACTAAAAATGACAGCATCCTATTTTGCATGTCCACTAGAGATCACTTCTGAAAACAATCTTTTCTATTCATAAATGCGTATTTAAGTCTTTGTCCATTTTTAATCAGGTTTTTCTTTTTCTTTCATTTTTTTGCTATTGAGATGTTTGAAGTCCTTATATATTTGTCTATAACCCCTATCACATCTGTACATTACAAATGTTTCCGCTCATCTCCTAGGTTACTTTATACCTAGTTCATTTTTTCCTGCGTTGTGAAAAAGCATATTAGTTTTATGTGCTCCCACTTGTTTATTTGTGCTTTTGTACTCATTGCCTTTGGTAGCATATCCAGGAAATCACTGAGTCACAGTCAGAAAGTTTGTCTGATGGCTTCTTCTAGTAGTTATAAGTTTCAGATCTTAGGTCTTCAATTCATGTAGAGCTGATATTTGTATGTGATAGCAAATAAGGTTCCAAACATATACATGTACCAAATCATCATACTCTACACTTCAGATCTGTACAATTTTTAATTGTCAACCATACCTGAATGAAAATGTACGTATTATTTGAGTTTGAGACCGACTCTTTATGCGCTATCCTACTGAGCTCATTTTACTTATCACCTGTTGAGGTTTTTGATAATTATCCCCAAGATCCAGTTGGATTACTCACTTCATAATAAGAGAATACCCTTCATAAAGATGAAGTTTTTATTTATTCTGCAAGAAATTAGCTCTTTACTCCATTGAGATCCAAGTCTAGCCACAAGGTACAGACCTCCAGAGAGAGTAGGGGCCATTTTCTGAAAAGTTAGAGACATTGAACTCACCAAATGAAAGCACTGTTCCTTGTCTTTTTTCAAAATGAAAGAGTAAATTTTCAAGCAGATGGGAAACAGGAAAACAGCATTACCGCTATCATCACCAGTATCAATGTGAACCAAGTACATACACCAAACCCACAGGCTCATGCTGAGATGAAAGCTGTGAGAACAGAGGGCATCAAAGGAACCCGAGGAGAAAGGCAGCCATCTCCCTTTTCTAACTGCATCCTTTGTCTTCAGCAGACCTATAAATACGGGCTGACTTCTCACTTGTCACATACTCAGGATCCTGCTCTCACATCCTCCGGGTGACATCTAGTCATGAAGGTCCTTGTCTTACTTGCTGCCATTTTCCTGGTGGCCATCCAGGCCCAGGCTGACCCCCTTCCAGCAAGAACTGAGGAGGCTCTGGACCAGGAACAGTTCGGGGCAGAGGACCAGGATGTGCCTGTTGACTTCACAGGAGACGAGGGTTCTGCTCTTAGAGCTGCAGGTGAGAGTCACCAACATGGCAGAGTTACAGAGTTTAGAGAAGGACAGGAGACAGTTTCAGGTCTACAACTGCCTATATCATATAGGTTACTTTATTAAACATGTCTGGATTTTTATTTTATCATCTATAAATTGAACAGTGGGAGTTAAATATTCTAGGAGATTCTCTTTAGCCAAGACGTCTGATTTTATGATGTGTTGGTGAAATTCACTAGGTTTTAGATAAGAAGTGACATGCCGTTGTTTCTGGATATAAAATGGTAGCTTTAGGTCTGTGGAAAAATATTTTACTCCATTGAAGAGCTTTTAGAATCTGGAAGGGCCTAAACATGTGTTGAGATGTACGTGTGATTGGAGCAGGAGCACAGGAAAAGGGAGATAAAGGACAAAGAGACTCCTTGTGTATGGTGATCACTGGCCACATATCTGTATCTATCTAACTATTCGTAATGATCAGTATTTATTATGCTGGTGACAACATGAAAAACCCACTCAAGCCAACACAACTTCTCTTGTATTCTCTTTCCCACCTAACTCTGACCCCTGTACCCAATAACTGATGCTCTCCCTATAACCCAGGTTTAAGAAGTATCTTCACCTGCTATTGCCGAAGAGGAACCTGTAGATCTTCTGAACAACGCAAAGGGAGATGCGGCTTCAGCATCATGTACAACCTCTGCTGCCGCTGAACATAGAGAACAGAGTGAAATGAGTTCAAATTTTACTTTGTGACCTAGAAGGAACCTGATTTTATTCCTGTGCCTTGTCTGCAATTTCCCTCCTCCTTCTCAAATAAATTCCTTGTAGCAAGAGCTCCGTGTTTGCTCTTCTTTGATGCTTAAAAATGTCATACGGAGAACTTTTGGGAATGTAAACACCTGGTATACATGTACCAAATCATCTCTTTAAATGAATACTGATGCCGAATTCTAGGAATTTCAGCGAAGAACACAGACTTGCTCGAATCGAAATGAAAACTCAAATAATGTTGACCTCTCTGTCTACTTCTTTTAATTATGTCTTCATTTTGAGTCAATTCACTCTCAAAGAATATCCCCACATGTTAGCCAAGGCAGTAATCATTAGCTTTAACTTTCCACAGTCATTACATCTTTTCTTTGCAAGAAAACTTGTTGTCTTTCCCAAAGTATGGAATTTGTGTTGAATAGACACAGTTTGCTCAGTTAGGTATTACTAAAAATCAACCACACACGTATGATCACTGAAATGTGTCACTGGGAATGGACACTGGTGGCAAGCCATGGGAAGATAAGACTGGGGTAGAAGGCTACACATGGACATCAATGTCAAATATTTGCACATACTTTTAGATATAACATGGTTTGCTTAAATCTCTGTGTTCTATTAAAGTACTGTTGTAGTCCAAAAGAAACTAAAATTAATCTGTTCTAAGATGAGTTTAGACTTTTAAAATCTGCTCAGGGGTTCATGCAGTGGAATAGCCCAGTGGGTCTTGGGGAATGTCAGGGGGTCCCAGAGCTGCCTCTACCTGCTAGAATTTACAAAAGCACTTCAGGATTGGAGTCTATAGATAAGCTGGGTAGGAGTAGCCTTCAAGTCTGTTCAGGCTTAGCGAACTGTGTCCCCCTGAGCATAGTCACATTGGGTATAACCACAGTTACTTTAGTCCCAGATGTCACACTCATGGGAAGCATGGCATTGGGGTGTTTGATGCAGACACCATGCTTTTCCTGTTTTTTTTTTTTTTTTTTCCCAGAACTTTCTGTCTCCCTGAACTCTCCCATCATTATTTCATGGCTACAACACATGCACCAATATGTACCTCTGTAATCCAGATTATGGAGCACAATTAGACCTTCTTGGTGGTCTTTCTACTTACTGTTTACATGCAGTTGAGCTGAGACAGGAACTCTTCGTGAGGCTACCAGTGTTAAATCCTCGATTTACTACTTCCTCTTTACATGCCCTTGAACTAACCATCCTACTCTTAATCTCAATATCTGTAAAATTAGTTGCTCATCAAAGTATCCAATTATTGGGTTGTTCTGTGGAGTGAGCTAAAGCAAGTGAATATTTAAGAAAGCTGGATCACACAGATGTAATGAATGGGGAGGCCTTGAGCTAAGAGTGACTGCATAACAGCATACCCCACAAAGTTTACTTCAGCTGCAAGTTTTGAGGGAAGATTGGTGGTTTATGTTGTTTGTTTTTCATCCATCAGGACAAAGTCAAGAGCTCTGGGTTGCTCAGTGGATTTGTGAGAGTTTCAAGGACACAGCCCCTATTCTTTTCCCTGCCCCACCTCAAATGCTAGGCTTTGTTCTCCACCTGTCATGTCATGTCATGGACCTGAAAGCTGCACAACCTCAGACAATTCCTGACATAGCTGGAAACCAGTTAGGAAGGAAATGTGACAAGGAGTTCATCTCTCCACAAGCACCAGCTCCACCAATACATTCTTGTCAGGAGAGATCACATGGTCAGAAGCTGCTGAGCTGACAATGGGGCCCAGCCACACGAAGGTTTGACAGGCTCCACCACAGAGAAAGAGGGATTAGCAGTTGTTGGAGAGCTGTGACACAGAGCCTGTCCCATAGATCACTCTCTGTAGCAGCTCTCACAGGGTGCACCCTGCTGGCTAATCTCCTGAGTCCCCTGGACCAGGACATTTCCAGCTCATCTGTGGTGTAGGAAATGGTTATTTGTCAGCATGAACCACGGCCTGACCCTGCATGGATGCTGTGGAATGTCATAGGAGGTCATTGGCTGAGAGAAGTTCTAAGTTTGCAGGGAAGATAGTGTCTTCTCATGATGGACCTCAGATTAGAACACTTTCCCTGGCAAAATGCCATGGTCTGTACCAAAGCACTGGTATGATCATGGCTGAAAAGAACGGGCTCCAGAGAAGGGCCTTCATTCATGTTCTCTGACTGAGAACCACGGTTTTCTGAATACTAAAAGGGACATATAAGTGTTAATGACAGACATTGGCTGGCAGGTGTGCCTGTGGGAACTCAAGATTATGGTTGTGCAAGAAAGGAAGACATCTCAACCTTCGCAGGTCCTGCCTTAAGGATCATAGTGAATACTCTGTACTGGAACTCTCTTCAAATATCTTTGTATGCTCTTCATAAGGCTCTCAATTGGGCCATTTATGTTATAGTTTTTGAAATTTTATTAAAAAAATACATTTTGATTAATGAAATTTGGAAGTAAACATTGTAAAACAAGTGGTATTCTATAGTACAGTATATTGTGTATCAAATATACAAATTATCTACATGTATATTATATTCATATATTTCTCTAATAATGTGTATATATATTTATAACATTTATAGTATATTATAATGCATATAATATACAAGAATATATTATGTATCTTATATATTAAATAATTTATAATATGAATTATTCCACCACCTAAATGAATATCTTTTCTTTTTAGAGAGGTTTTTGCTATAGGGCGTGTGTGTTCATCAGAAAGACAGAGAGAGACAGAGAGACAGAAAGTGAGAAATCACCCCCTAGGGGGAAGGCTACACCGCAATCCCTTCTCCTCCATTTTTTTCTTGGGATCTTGAGCACACATGCATACATGACTAGCATGAGTTTAAGCCACTGGGTTCAGGACTCTAACCGCGGTCGGCTACATAGGAGTCCAGTGACATAGCCATTACGCTAACTACTGGTCCCGAAAGGCTCTGGTTCTGATGACCGTGGTTGGAACAAGCAATATATCTCAGAACAAGATAGCTAAAAAATCTCTCATTATTAATCTGTGTAAAATTTAAACAAAAAACTGGCAGGACTGACTCTGCTTTGCAGTGATCAAGACAGCTAGATCCTGCATAGTCAACTGCAGTTTGAATGTCAGCCCTACAGTTGAAAAACATGTGGGCACCTGTGTCTGCCTGTCCAAAAATCCCAATAGCATGGATAAGTGGATAAAAAGGGGTTACAGGATGCCACATTCCTTTGGGAGATGTTTTCTTTCTGTCTCTCTCTTTTTTCTTTTTTCTGGCAACCACACGTGTCCTGTGACAAAAAAGAAAAAGACAAAGACTCACCTGTTTCTTTATCCTCCAGCTTTTAACGATAGCTTAAATACCTAAATAAGCCAGCGGGCATGTTTTAAGCATGAAATGAATACATTAGTATACTCTCAAGTTCTTAGTGTTTTCCTCATGAGGTCAATTTTTAAATATTCATTTGAGTTTTGTACATTTTGAAATTAAAGAAAAATTAAGGTATGATGGATTATTACTAAATTTTAATAGCTTAATTACTCCTGAAAAACGCTCTTTTGCTTTGGAAGAAAGTAAATGTGCTTTGTCTTCACAATCAATACTCTTACAGTCTCTCTTGCGGGTGATGAGATTAAAACCAGGTATGGTGAGGCCTGGTTTACTTGGAACTGATGTATTTTCTTCCCAATATTCAAACAAAACACAGATTTGTTCAGTAAGATTATGTAATAAGAATTAATAATAATTATTCAGGAAAAAAATAGCCCATCTACCTTCCTTTTTTTTTTAACATTAGTAAGTTTATTATAAAGTTTACATGAAAAGTGAAAAGATTTAGAATATCTAGAATAATTCTGTAAGTAACAATATTGGAAGATTTGAATTATTTAATTTCAAAGTTTAAAATAAAAATGCATTTTTCATATGTACTTTCCAATAACTTTGTGAAGATTCCTTGTAGTAATTGTGTCTATCCTTATATGATCCATCTACTTGCATCAATTATATTAGAAGAATCTTTCTTTCATCAGTTACATTTGAAGAATCTTGAAAGATTCTTGAAAGATTCTTCGATCACTCCTGTCAGTTGATCTTGTTTGATAAAATAATTCAAAGTTATTGGATGGTGGGCATCATGAGGGAAAAATACCACATCCTTCCCTTCTTTCCTTGGTAAGAGCCTCATGTTTTCTCTTCTAATCCAAGGCCCAAGTTCAGTCCTTTATGTCTTCTCAGCAAGGGAGAGGAAGGAAGACAGATTTCAGAAGGTCATTTGGGGCCCAGTGGACCATGAAGTGATGACAAGCCTTTGTCAAGCAGGAATAGACCTTTCTTAGGGTCCACTTTGTCAGCTTATTTTCCTCTTCACCCTACTTTCTTTCTCATTTCCAGCAAAAATTCTGTTTTCAGGAAGCAGTCAGCACACCCAAGTATTGTGACGGGCCTATGAGAGAATCTCAGGGAAAACGGTCAGTTTTCCACTTTCAAGAAATCGTTTTCTTTAAGCTAAAAGAAAGCACTTGGTTTGGTCTGCCTATCTCTCTTGCACAGGTCTACTCCAGAAATCCTCTGAGCTCACCCTGCTCTCCTACAGATCATTTGAAATTCATAAAACCTGGTGCCTGACATTGAGATGAATTATTAATAATCATTACAGGACATAAGACTGTATTTTAAAAAATAAAAATAAAATCACTTTCTTAGGACCTGCAGGTGGCAAAGTGGTTAACATGCTGGCCTCCTACATGGCCAACTGCATTTTGAGTCCCAGACATGGCAGCTTGAAACTCACACGAGATATGTGTACTTGTATGCCCCAAATCTCAGGAGAATGGAGAAGGGATTGTGGCAAGGCCATTCCCTCTGACAGTTGATTTCTCACTTTCCCTTTCACTGCTTCTCTCTGGCAAGTGCAAGTGCTCTACAGCAAAAACCCAAACCCAAACCCAAACCAAAGCAAAACAAACAAACAAAAATCACTGTAGGGTCTGCTCAATTAGCATTTAAAGTCACTCATAGATTCTTGGTCCAAATAGTTCTAGTGAGGTTGATTAATCCAGGGCTTGGGGCCTGGTCTATCA